TTCCTGGGATGTGGAATTATCATTATTTAATATACAATGGATTAGATGTTCGGTTCACATTGTTCGCAAGTACTTTCGGTGAAAACATTTACCATCCTCAGGCATAGATGTTATTTTTTTCTTCAATTTCAGGTAATTTCGGGTAAAATTCCACGACGAAAATGAATGGGATACTCGTCGAAAGATGTTTTATTCAAGAATTTGTGCTATTATTAACAGTTAAGAATATTTTTGAAGGTGCAGTAATGCGACGCTAGATTTTTTAATATTGTAGTAATGTAGTAATTTAAAATTTCTATTATTGTGTTTTTCCGTTGACGTGACATGGACTATTGGTCCAATAATTAGAAACAATGTCTTAGAAGATTTCAGAAATTTTTTACTGTATATCGAAGATATTTCCAAATTAATAAATAATGCAGCTTAATTAATATATATACATATATATATGTGTATATATATATATATATATATATATATATATATATATATATATATATATATATATATATATTAATTAAGCTGTATATATATATATATATATTTATATATATATATATAAATATATATATATATAATATTATAATTATTTTAAAAAAATATGATTTCTTCGCTACATAAGAGTTCTCATATTTCAAAAACGATAGCCGAAAACCTCAATATAATTATTAAAATTAAATTGAGTTAAAGTATCAAGCCCTGTTTCATTCTCAAGCGAAAAAGTAGGAATGACCAATCTTGAAATTTATGCATCTTTATAAGCATGTTCATTCGCAAAATTATTTACTATGGAAACGGCTGGGGCGACCATTTTGGTAAGTGGCCTAGGAGATAATTTTTCGCCGGATTATTTACCTAACTTGTTATTTCCTATTTTTCTATATACCTGCACACACACACACACACACACACACACACACACACACACACATATATATATATATCTGATCGAAATTCCTGGGATGAGGAATTATCATTATTTAAATACGGTCTATTTTAATTGTTATCACAGCGTTTCGGCAGTTGTTCACCCCGGTCTTCATCAAATGTCGAACAGGGTAACCTACAGAGAATTTCGAAATGAATCCGTTATTTAATCTACAGGCTGAGATTGTTCTTGTTCCACTGCGCATGTCTAGGAATATTTCGTCTAATTCTTAAATAGCAGTTATTGAGCAGTAGTAAATAAGAATAAGTGTCTTGGGAGAACCATATTATTGCAGCCATAAGCATTAGATGTCTGCAAGTTAACCCGACGGAACCCAGACTTGCTGTCAAACATTGCTGGAGTTAAGGTTTAATATTGAAATTAAACTTTGGCATTTGAGTTTCAGTTTCGAAACATAGTAATTTCCGTGTCGTAATGGAATCATATTTTTTTAAAAAATAATTATATATATATATATATATATATAAGGCCCAACTAATATTCCATAATTATAATTTATTACATTGGAATCGTAATCACGGTCCAATTCATCAGACCTACAAATATTTGTATAACCATGGAATATCAGTGTTTGAGCCTTTTATATTATATTCTTGTTCTGTACAGTACATAGAGTTGTGTGTGTGTGTGTGTGTTTGAAATGTTTATATTATATATATATATATATATATATATATATATATATATATATGCGCATGCATATGGATAATTTGTAAACAAACTAATATAGATGCCTGAATAGGTATGCGTACGTATGCATTGAATCTATCTGTACTATCCTTTATTTAGATTGTAAGATATCTTCACGTTAAAAAATCTTAATTATGATGGATAGTAGTTTTTTATCATATAACGATATAATGTAGATATTTTTGTTCACGCGTTAAACGCCAATATATATCAATATATGTAATAGATATCGTAATTCACACGCACGCGCGTGCGCGCACACACACACATATATGTATATATATTGAGTATGACGATGATGATGGCACAGATGTGTTTCTTATACTTTACTTACAAATTCTAATCCCATTATATATATATATATATATATACATGATGAAGCAAACGCATCAATGAGGGGGGGATGCTAAAATTTTAAATCTAAATATTTAAATAAAGATTAGTCTATCCGATTTCATTTGCTTCTTTTAGTTTATCCTTTTAGCAGATTTGTTATTAAATATCTCCACATTGTGATAAAAGCAGATCTGCCAAGAAGGGAAAAAACAAATTTATGGTCGAAATCCTAATGTCTCCTCTCATTAATGCGCATGTGTAATCGTATGAACGTAAACATCACTTTTTAGTCCGATGAATTCCTAAAGGATGAAACGCGACACAGTAAAATCTTTTGCCCCCTTCTCATAGATTATCCAAAATTTCTTCATGATATATATATATGCTAAAAGATCAGCATACCGTGATGAAAACATGCTCCAAACGTAATGGAAACATACTTTTATCGTCAAAATCTTTATGTTATTAAGAAGAAGGATCAAAGTATTTTTCTCCTTCTTCGAACATTTGAAATTTTGATTAAAAAACTTGTTTTTCTTGCATCAGAAGTTGTACTAAATTTTAGCATACCAAATTTTTGCCTCTTTTTGCGGTGGCAGACACATTAATTTGGAAATTCTTGCAAAAATGAAATAATTGAAATTTTCAGGACTTATTCACAAATGAATGGAATTATTTTTGAATTTTTTTCATTAGAAAAACTTGATAACGCCTTACTTAATTTTATGAAAACTTTGATAAATTTAACGTGATAATTGTTAGTGACTATCTTAGTTAAAAGCAGAATATTTTGAAGAATTTAGATGAATTTTTTTTGTAAAATCGAACACCGTATTACCGAAAATCTGTTCTGAATCGAAAAAAAAAAACGCAATAAAAGAAATACCTCATTTAATTAGAGGAGCTTTTAATTGCTTTTAGGAATAATATATATTAAAGACAATATTGTATAAAGAAAAAAATTCGATTTAAAATTAATTTTCACATGATTTGTTTTCATTTTTTACAATTTTAAATTGAATAATTTATAAAGTTTTTAAAATTTAAAAAAATTCAGTTTCAATGTGATAACTTAGGAAACATAGTTATTAAGTAAAATTATATTTACTAATCATATATTTTAAAGCTTATTACAATCTGACGCTCCCGAATATTTTTAAAAGAATTTCGATTTGTTTTTGTATGTGTGATATACATGCAGAATTTCTAAGTAGGATCTTCAAACATATAACATTATCATTAAAAGTTCACATGTTTTAAGGGTTATCCCTCCTTACTGAAAAAGAAAAAAATCCTAATATGAACTTTATCGTCTGCTCCAAGATACATAACTATGAACATGTTCGGCGGTCATTCGGCATTCAATAAAACGATTAATACGTCATAAAAACATGACGTCGGGATTAAGAAATGCTTGTATATAACATTTTAAGCCATAAATAAGCAATATTTGTTTCAAATCAGATTAATTTAACTTTAGATTTGCTAATTTTCCTCAAATAAGAAATATATATATTATATTTGCAAGAATTTTGAAACCGAGAATTAAGTTTTTTTTTATAAATGTATCAAAGTAGACATTTTCATCAGTTTTACAAAAAAAAAAAAATCGATTCCGATCAATATAATTTCTATTTGAAATATACCACAGAGAATTTTGTTTATTAGAAATAGTAAATTTTAAATCCTTTAGCTTTCAATTAAAGCAATGGTTCTCAAACTAGGTCCATATGAAACCCTGGGGGGTCCATGTAAGATTACTGAAGATTCAGACAAAAAAATTGCAAATTGGGACTCTACGGTAATATTTTAGTGGTTCATACAGCAATTTTACTTTCGGAACGGCTGTTACAATTGAGAATTGGAATTTCTACAGTAATCTAGTACATATTAAAATACTAAAATTAGAAAAAGCAACTCTCTAAAACTAGCAGAAAAGAAGATGTGATGTAAGTTAGCGTCCTTTTTACTCTAGCGGATTTTTTTATTGTAAAAATAAATCAAAATGGGTTATTATATAGTTATTTTACTAGTGTCCATAGAATTTAGTTGTTAAATACAAGTTTATTTACATTATATTAGTTTTAGTTGAAAATAAAACATATGCATTTACTAGTTCTATAATAAAATTCCTAAACCTATTTATTAGTAAAAAATAAACTTTTTAGAAATATAGACAGATAATAAAATTTTTATTCATCGAATGTTTATGGGGATCCACCCAAAATGGTTAAAAAAAAAAGCTTGAGAACCATTGAATTAAAGCTAAAATGAAATCTTCAAAAAATGTTCTTCATTTTAAAAATTCATTTTAAAACTTACGTATACCGAATTAGTAGAAGTACATAATATATATTTATCACGAACCTTTCAGTTGGTAATCATGATCATCCTTTATTTATTGATTAGATATATAACAACTAAGATGTTCGCGATAGTAGCACTCCTCAGAGTCAGATAAGAATATATATATATATATATATATATATATATATATATATATATATGTATGTATGTATGTGCGTGTGGCTTTATTTCTCTCTCTCTCTCTCTCTCTCTATATATATATATATATATATATATATATATATATATATATATATATATATATATATATATATATATATATATAACGAAAATCTTGGTAATCCGTATGGCTAATCTCAAGAAGGATGAAATCCTGAGAGCTCAATGTTAAGTCAGAGCGAAATATATATATATATATATATATATATATATATATATATATATATATATATATATATATATATATATGAAATATTCTCGGGTTCGATTAATTAGAAATTATATCGATTCGAAGTGATAAATTATATATATATATATATATATATATATATATATATATATATAATAATTATATGCAATAAATACATATGTGTGTGTATGTGCCTCTGAAAACAAAATCATCATTTTCGGTTCTAGATTTTCATTTTCGCTTTTGCTTATAGTTTTCCAATGTTAACTTTGCAACAATTTCAACCTTTTCTTCTGTAATATTTGTACGATGACGAATCGGTCGTTTGGCATGTAGTTAATAACTGACTTAACTTGCAAAGTAAAAAAATTAATATATTGTTCGATCAATGTGAATAATATTGATCTTTGCATATCGTGCATCTTCAATGAAAGAATGAAAGTGGGTGTTGTAAAATAAATATTAATTATTAATAAATATATATAAAAAAAAGAGATTTACTTATTTAAAAAATTAAAATATAAAAAAGCCTTCATGAAAAAAACTGAAAACGTTAAATAATAAAGAAATTGTTTATTGAAAAATAAATATTCGTTGTTTTTTCTCCATATATAGTGATTTACTAAGCATAGGACACACTTATGGACCTAATGAGGTTCGAACTCACTTTTCTGTTGTACCTGATATGTAAGACAAACTTTTAAACAATTACACCACGTAGCAATGTGTGTGTGTGTGTGTGTGTGTGTGTGTATATATGACCTAAATATATCGTTTGAATTAATAAGGAATTATATACTATAGGCCAACATTTTGTGGGACCTCTGGATTTAATAATTAGTAAGTTTCATACCTTGCTTGGTTAAATTAACTCCTAGTGAGATAAGTTACTGTACGTTTTAATACTACTAGTTCATGACATTCTTTTTATTTATTTATTAAACTGTAGTGTATATTTATTTATTTTCTCTTCTTCTCCTAAAAAGGTGGACGCAGGTTCGAATCCTGTCGGAGACCGCATATTTTCAGGCTCGTAAACGAAAATAAATAAATATTCAGGCCGGTAGACGAAAATAAATATACTGTCTTTAATAAGTAAAGGGAGCGTCTACTCACGTATTGGTGTCCACTAAAAAAATATATAAATAATTTTTTTTAAAAAATATATATATATATATATATATATATATATATATATATATATATATATATGCAAGACGCGTTTCATTCTTTAGAACTTCATCGGACTAAACTTGTTTACCTTTATGTGACTACGCATGCGCAATTATACATAATGTTTGTAAAACTTTCCTACATTGCTACAAGAGTTTACTATAGAGGAGTACATCTCTATGAAGTGTATTCTTTGACAATGGAGTCTCCCTTTTGCATGGTGTAGTAACGGAATTTTGTTATGTTAAATAAACGGAACCTTATAATCATTTATTATATTCATGAATAAAATGTTATTTGTTTTGTCTGATATTTTGGAAGTATTGAACATGAATAATAAGAGAATAGAAACCAATATTAAGATTTTGATATTAAGTAAGCACAATACAAGGGCCGAATTAACTGAAATATAACATTTTTAACGGTATGGAAAAATACACGATATCAGATTTTATTATGCAAGTAAATAAATCCACAATAAAATGTTTATTAAGCAATCGATGTTGGTAAAACGTTCAGGATATTTTCACATGAGCAATTGCAATATACAATGTAAATTTCAGAGATTATATGTTCTATTCTTATTTAAAATATTTTGGGGTGTATCAGGTTTTATGCGAACAAAGTAAGTGCAACATTAATTTTTATTTAAAAATAAATCCAAATGGCCACACACATATATATTTTATTAACACAATATCACACATAACTGGATAAATAATTATTTTATTAGTTTACGTCGTATTAATATAGGTCCCTTGACGTTCTATAGCCTTCATCAGTCTTTCAACCATTGGTTTTGCTAATTGTACTGTTTCGATTTGCAATTGTAATTTCCTTGATATTTTCTTTGCTTGAATAATTTTTCCCATTCTTAAATAGGTTTTTAATCTTGGACCGCTGGTTTTCTATTGGATTACCATCTGGAAAGAAAATGAATCATTCCATTAACTTGAAACCTTTTTTTTTTTTACAATAGATTTGCAGAATGTAAAGGAACATTACATTATCTGAATTATATGAATATAATTTTTAGCCAAAAGCTTCTTGGTCACGCCCACTTAAAAACATCTTATCCAAGAACTTATAACATTTCTTTAACTTTATCGTGACACCATCATCAACTTTGAAAGGACCTATAATTTTACTATCTACAATACAACCTGCCTACTTCTATGTGTTGTCTCCCTTCAGGACGTTGGCGATCATGGCTCCACACAATTTCCTGTTTTTTGTAGCCCTTGGTAAAGTTGCCTTTTTTCTCTTTTCTACCAACTATTTACATAAGCTAGGTAGGCTATGCACTGCTTTTCTCCGTTTCTATTACTTTGAAATATGTCACGTGAGTGTTAAATTTCCCAAGTCCTTTTTCCTCATTATCTTCACTAGAAACTTCAACTGACTCTTCCTGATGTTAAGTGTCCTTTTTGTTTCCGTTTTCTATAAGACTTCGTTGTTGCTCCCGTGTTCAATCCATTCTAAATCGTGCTGGGCGATGATTTTAATGAAGGACTCAGCATCTAACACAACCATCAAGTCCAACCAATGTAGCTCTACATTCATCACTAAAAATTACTGTTAAGAAAAAGTACTTTTCAGGTACTACTTCAGCCAGTTTACACGTTTCTCTTCGTGGCGTTCATTTAATGGTTATCCTTTTTTTCTTTCATGTCAATGTTCTTAGTATTCTGCATCATTTATTTTTCTTTTGCATTCGCAAAAATTATCTTTTTCAAATATTTTATTGCTAGTCAATACACTTTTCTTGTTTATTATGTTTGTAATTTTTCTAAAAATTCTGTTTGTAAGATTCTGTTTTTTTTATCTTGGCAATGTTTTCAGTTTCTTTTTGGATTTTCTCTGATCTCGGTTCAATTTTCTTGTAATTTTCAACGTTATGTTCTCATTCCTCGATAATTTGAAAATATCTCGTTTCACTGTTGAAGTATATATCTATTTTTTGCAGACCAGAAAATTATTTAGATATCTGAAATTTAAAAAAAAAAAACAACTATACTATTATAATTATTTACTTATCTTATGAACAAAACACGAATTGCACGATAGAATCTCCTGTCACCAAGTAAGTTATAAATATTTCTAATAAAATAGGTATTGTCGGCTAAAATTCAAATGGTATATTTATCATATCGTCAAAATATTATCGGCATCATTTGCTTAATCCCATTTATATTATGAAATCATTGATTTGAATTATAGAATCTGACATAGTTTAATAATAATAATAATAATAATAATAATTTTAGACTGTATTTCGAGTTGTATAACTCAAATTTCGCGCCTAAAGCTACTGCGTATTATACACACAAAGTAAATCTTTGGGGACTGGCGAAGTACCAGATAATGGAATTTTCTAAAAGTGAAGACAAAAAGGTAAAAACAAAAATCAGAATTCAAACATTGTGTTAATAACGAATTAATTTTACCTCACCAGTTGAATTTTCCTAACGACGTATTTTTTTCTTTGTGATTAACATCATGTTTATTTTGTTTCTTCCATTAAAAACTTGAAGAATTTTTGATCGTATTGCATATTTTTTCTTGAATTCTAGCCTAAAATGGCAATTCATATATAATAAAGAAAACGAATCTGTGGAGAGCCATGATCTATTGGGTGAGTATTAATAGTAACAAATTAAATTAAATACTCATTTATCTTTTCTCTGTTCGGAGTTTCGCGGAGATTACAGGCATTCGTCAGGGAACTTTTATGTAAAAATGTATAATCAAGTCTCCTGGATGCAATCTCTTCGAAAACTCAGAGTAGGGACAAGATAAATGAACATTTAATTTTATTTATTACTATATAATATATATTACTATATAATATAAATATGCTTTCTTTAAATAAATTCTTTAAATATTCTTTAAATATCCTTTTAGTATAAATAGTAATATATATTATTACTATAAAATAAAAATGTCTTTTCTTTCAAACTTCCAATGACTGATAGCATCTCTGGCTTTACAACATTATCTTTGTTCTTGCTATCGATTTTGCTTGTGAAAACTTTTTCTGTTGAGTATGTTTTTCTTTTTTTTTTTTTTTTTGAGCGCTTCGCTTTGTAGAATTGATTTCTGTTCTAATATTTTCTCATAAAAAATAATAATAATAAAAATAGTAATTTAAACAATAATTACAATGTAATAAATAACAGAAATTAAATAAATACATACAGAATTAAAACAAAATAAACACACTAATTAACATTAACATGGAATCAGCAAATTTTATATCCACATCAAACCTACACGACTTGAAAATCACTCACAGAAAAAATAGAACAGTTTATAAAACGCCTTAGCTCGGCTCGGATTGAGGAATAGGAGAGCTGAGTTCGAATTCCAGTCGAATCCATTATATTCACTTACGTGCTAATACGCATGGGAAAGGTATGAATTCTCGTCTCTCCACCCACAGCTATGGGTAAATAGCAGGACAGACCGGGTTCTATAGCCTTGGATGGCAACTGGTCTACCGCAGAAAGAAATGGCAACCTACTGCGAGAAAAAAAAATCTGCTTCGAAAGATACATGATCGCCTAAGAGTGCATCACGCCTGGTACATAAGTGACTGAAGATGGAAAGTATTCTATTTCCTCAACAAAGACAATGACAATAATAACAACAACAACAACAACAACAACAACAACAATAATTATAATAATGTAAACAACTTTGGATTCAAATTAATGAAATGCCCATTCAAACAAAACGGCCTTATTGCATTTGAAAATGACTTAATAAATATAATCAATAACTTAAAAGTAAGAAAAATCAACAATAATTTAAAAAAATATATATGAAGATCTCAAGATGATAAACAAGTTAAAAAAACTATTTATAAAAAAAAATAAATTCTGGAAAATCTATAAAATGGATGCCAAATATTACAATAAACTAGATGACAAAGAAGTTACTAAATTTTAAAAAATCAAGGATAACGAAATAGAAAGAAGATAAACACATAGTCACTAAACTAAAACTAGACAACCGGATAAAACAACTATCAAAAGTAGAACCATTTATTAAATTAAAATATATCTCCCGACGAGTGGACTGAACGATTATAAAAAAAAACGTTCATCTAAGAAACTTAGGAGTTGGGATGCTGAATCTATCAGCTAAGTCATAGATTTTTGTATTTTGTATTAAACCTAATATATATATATATATATATATATATATATATATATATATATATATATATATATATATATATATATATAAAAAAGTGGCCACTGAGGTTTAAACCGAGTGATGACTGTCTATTTCAACTCGCTGTTGACCTCAATGTCCACTCTTTACATATGCTCTATCCCTGATATTGAGTACTTTTTACCCATAAATATAGCATACCTTCAAACTATATTTTTTATTTATATATATATATATATATATATATATATATATATATATATATATATATATATATATATATATATTAGCGTCTGGTATAGCTGAGTGGTGTAGCACAGATCTATCTATCTATCTATCTATCTATCTATCTATCTATCTATCTATCTATCTATCTATCTATCTATCTATCTATCTATCTAGTACAGGTTATAGATCCGTTGGTATATAATCCAAGTCGATCCTAGTAATATCAAATATTAAAACTGATCCACAGAGAGCTCAATGTATTTATTATAACAGAGCAAATACATTTTTTACGGCAAAAATCAAAAATTACCTCATGTTGGTATAGACTATTTCTGGTCGACACAACATAATTTCCGATCCAAGGGCTGATGAGGATCAGTATTAAGTTGTGCCGACCTGAAATCGACTATACCCACATGAGGCAATTTTTTTTTGATTATATATATATATATATATATATATATATATATATATATATATATATATATATATATATATATATATATATATATGTGTGTGTGTGTGTGTGTTTGTAGTAGTAGTACTAGTAGTAAGTATTAAACTTATCACTATTTATACAAAAAATAAAAACTGTCACCACTTTTTATTGATGTAGTAGAAATAGAATTTTCAATTAAAAAAACATGACAAAGAAAATGCAAATTTGTTTTAAATTACTCACTCATCACTTTTTACAGGCATGTAAATGTCATTTTGTCATTTCATTAAATTTATAAGTAAAATACAATTACAAAATTGCTAACCCTTTATATCAAAATCCATTAGAAATTATCAAGTTAGCAAAAACCTTCATATTCTAACATTTTTATATTACTTCTTATAGATGCAGTATCTCTTCAGGATACTGAGCAGTCAAGGCTCTCCACAGCTTCTTATCTTTTGTAGCTCTTAGCAAGCTATGTCTTTTTATTATTCCTTCCATTCCCTGTTCTTGTCATCCATTTACACAAGCTCATTAGTTAGGCTACTCGCTATTTCCTTTTCAATATATTCCAGTCATGAGTAAAATAGAAGGGCAAACTAGGTCTTATAGCCTTGTGTGGCAACCGGTTTAGAATAAGAACAACTTTAAATTCAGAACCTGAGTGATCGAGTGGTCGGCGACTAAACCGACTCCCCCACCCGACTCTAGCCTGGTGAGGAGGGTAAGTGGAAACTCAGCAGTACAAAAAATTAGAGCTGATGAACTCCTTAAAGGGCGGATGAACTCCTCAGGGTCAACTACAATCTATTCCAACTATGGATTAAATAGCTTCACCAACCCCCAATTGGTCTATTAGGGAAGGGTTCCTCCATCAGGCGTGAGTAGGCACTAAATTTGGATTTAGATGTTCCATGAGTATCAAGTGTTCTAACCCGTTTTTTTCCTTGTTTTGTATTCCCCAAATTTCTTTTTCCCTAAGTGTAAGTGTCCTTTTTGTTTCAATTTTCCTTAAAACTTCCCCATTAATTTACATGCTCAGTCCATGGTTATTCTCAGCATCCTTCTGTAGAACAACATCTCTGTTGCTTGAAGTCCTCCATTTATCTGTGAGATACGGTATGTATATTGCAACTTCATGTATAGTGCGACACTGCATTTTTTTTGCCTGAATTTTAACCACTCCAGAAAAAATTTACCTGTGTATAGTGCAACCGGTATCCGAAAATGCATGATTTTTACTTAAAAAAATTACCTGTATATAGTGTAAACATGCATTTTTGTGTAAAAAAACTACTCATAAACTGGCCCTATACTCGAATGTATACAGTAATTATCTAGCTTTCCCTACAATATAGGAAGATTGATATTACATTGCAGTTCAGCACTCTTTTCTTCGTTTTTAACATTTTCCTGTTTCTCAAGACTTTGCTGCGTTTTTAGAAGGCATCTTTTGCTATTCCAAATGCACCTTCCGATTTCAGTGTCACAATTTCCGTCTTCTGTTAAAACACATCCCAGATATTTTAACTTCTTCATTTGTTTGAGTTTGGCATCTACAATTTGTTGCTGCCATTTATGCATTAAGTCTTACAATTAATAGTTAGTCTTTTCTTCTCACTTTCTTTTACCACTTTCTCTATGTAGTCCTGTAGTTTTCTTTCTGTGTCTACTACCATCAACACAATGTCATCCGTATAATACATTAACGATGGCTAAATTGATAATAAATATGAAATTACAAAAATATTAGAAATATTAATAAATATCTTAACAAATAAAATCAATAGAAAAAAAAAAGAAAAAGAAAAGAAAACTGATATTTGCAATCAAAATGATACCGCTGATATTTTTAGAACATATAATGAGGAAAGAAGGTCGAGAGAATATAACACTCACAGGGCATACTGAAGGCAATAGAAACAGGGAATGACTTACTTAATGTGTTTGAAAGGCGATAGAGCAAAGACAGAAATGGTAAAGGGTCGAAAGCAGCAACAAAAGGCTGGAAATAGGGGAGAGTCATGATCGACAATGTCCTGAAATGATAAGGAATTTTTAAATAGAAATTTTAATAAAAAACGTTTAAAAATAGCAAAATAATACAAAAAATTAAATATTAGCATTTACATTATTTATTTTTTTTTGTAAATCTTTTATTATTTTAATCGTTTTTTTTTTAATTAGAATTTCTATTTAAAATCTAAAATTACACAGATAGAAAATAAAATAAAATTTAAAGAAATGCGAATAAAGAAAAAATTAAAAATAATAAAAATACGAAAGCGTAATGGAAATGTAAATAATAAATAAATATTTTTAAACAAAAAATAAAGAAATATGAATGAAGGAAGAATTTTTTAAAAAAAGAAAAAGTAACCTTACAGAAATGTCAATAAAAATATAAAAAGCGTACGGCCATATCACGTTTAAACATCGGTTCTCGTACGATCACCGAAGTTAAGTAACGTCTAGACTTGGTCAGTACCTAGATTGTTAATCACTTATGAATACCAGTTGCCGTAAGGATGTGCGAGTGGTGTAATGGACAACGATTCGGAATTGTAAATCGGAGAACCAAGTTCCAATTCCAGTCTAGTTCGTTATATTCACTCACGCATTTCTTTAAATCTTATTTTATTTTTATCTGTGTAATTTTAAATAGAAATTCTAATAAAAATGATTAAAAATAGTAAAAAAAAAAATTAAATAATAAAAATGCTAATATTTAATTTTTTGCATTATTTTGCTATTTTTTACCATTTTTTATTGTGAAAGGTATGAATCCACGTCTTCTCCAGCAGCTATGGGTTAATTAACAGGAATTGTATCAGTAGATCATTATTATCTCCAAAGAATTCTTATAATTTGAAAATATTTTCTAGTTTTGAATAAGGGTGATAAGCCGTAAAAAACGAATCAATCAATCAAAAATATAAAAATATTAAAAATAAAAGAGGCTTTCATAAAGAAAGAATTAAAAAAATAACTGAAATGAAATAAAAATAAAAGAAATGCTAATAAAAATTTAGGAAGTACAAAAATAAATAATATAAATGTTAATATATAAAGGATTAAAAATAAGGAAATTATAATAAACATATAATTAAAAACAAATTATAATAAAGAAAAAAAATGGAAATAATTGAAATACAAAAACAGCTGTGAAAATATGAGAACTGTAGAAAAATTAAACAATTGACAAAAATAATAATAAATTTAAAAAATAAAAATAAATAATAAAAATATTAATAATGAAAAAAAAAATTTACATATTAAAATACCATAAAACAATCTCCCGAAAAGTTGGGGAATAAGGTAGTACCAATAATAGCAGATGCACTGGAGCTGCCCCCAAAACACGAGTGGTGAGGAAAATGGAAGTGAAATTTCATAGAAAGGTTAATGTCCAATTCATAATAGCACCGCGTTTGGCGTTAATACTAAAGCAGGCGTTGAAGATTTGTATAGATTCTCTCTCACTAGTTGACCAGAGAATTCTACCAGACACTAAGTGTAAACCTGTAAATGCATGAATAATAATAATAATAATAATAATAATAATAATAATAATAATAATAATAATTGCAGCTCAGAACCAAAGCCTCGCAACCAGATCCTATCACTGTCACATTATCAAGGATGGAACTAAACCTAAATGTAGGATATGCGGAAAATATGATGAGTCTGTCGACCATATTGTCTCAGGATGTCCGGAAGTGGCAAAAAAAAAAAAAAAAATGAATATACTCAGAAATATAACAAGGTAGCAACATATGTGCACTGGAAGATATGCAAGAAGCATCGAAACCACCGAGAGATGGTATGACCACCAACCAGACACAGTTACCCAAAATAACAATGTAACTATCATCTGGGACATGCCAATTCAAACTGCCAGGGAAATAAAAACCAACAGACCTGATATTATCATGAAAGACAAAGAATTCAGGATGTGTGTGCTTATTGACATAGCTGTACCATCTGAGAGAAACAGCTCCCTAAAAATTATCGAAAAATTGTCCAAATACAAGCTCCTGGAGATCGAGAGTAACAGGATGTTGTGAATGAAGGCTGAGACGGTACCAATAGTAATCGGAGCACTGGACCTCCTGAGAAAACGAATGGACAATTTTACCAGCAGTGTCCCAGGTAACATCAACATACAAGCTGTCCAGAAGATCGTCCTACGAGGAACATCCCATATACCATGAAAAATACTATAAATGACAATTCTCCTATAGGGCCTAAGGACCATAGTTTGGACCGGCTCTACAGGATACAAGCAAAGAACATGATATACACAAATAATAATAATAATAATAATAATACATTGTTCTCACGAGTACAGCTCACACCTTACGAAGGGCTTTATCTATGTAAAATATGTGTGATTTTAAAAAAATGCTCAGTGAAAATGTCATGATGCCATTTCTGACCTTAGGTCTCTGGTCGGGACCCGGAAAGAAATGACGCCAGAAATCCAATGAAATAATAATAATAATAATAATAATAATAATAATAATAATAATAATAATAATAAATATTGTTTTAAAATGCTAATAAAAAGAATAAAAACAATAATAATAATATAATAATAATAATAAATGGTAGGTATAATATGAAATATCTGCCAATTCCTTTTACTATTACTACGACTACTACTAATACTACTATTACTACTAATAATAATATCCCTAATATTAAAAATATTCGGTTTTCAAATGTTAATACAAC